TTTTTTAAAAAAAAATTTAAAAATTATAGTCGTTAAGGCACTGTTTGTGTCAACCAAACGGTAAATGCATTGTTTATGGCAGCAATTTAAAATTTAAAGCAAAATTTTAAAAAAAAATATCAAATTTTAAAGAAAAAAAAAAATTTTAATTTATTTTTGACCCAAATAAAATTTTCAAAAATGGGCTTTGACTAGCCTGCTGCACATGCTCTAAGTTGGCTAAGGCTAATTTTCAAGTTTGACTATTCCTTCGCCCTCCTCCTTTAATAGAAGGTTGACACGTGCGCGTGACAATAAAATAATAAGAAAAAAAATGACTTGTATGCCACTCTCTCAAAGAGTTTAATTGTAATAAGTGATAGTTGAGAAGTGTATTTTATAACAAGTCAATAGTTAAGTCTTAAGAGGCGTTTGGTGCACTTTTGCCTTAATTGTATAAGAAGTAAATATAAGGAATCATAATTCTTTGTCACTTTTTTTTTTTGGTATATAATAAATCGACTTGCTCGTTATTCAGGATACGAGTCACTAGTTCATTTGGACCATTTAACTTTAATTATTTAAGTAGTTCTAGGTTTGGTTTTGTATTATTTGTGATTTAATACCTATAGGAAATAATAAATGAGAATGAACTGTTTTAACACTTTCATAATAATTTCAAAAGAGTATTAAATGCATAAAGATATGTATGATTGCAGACGAAATGAGTAGATTTTGCATAATGTTAATGTTTTTTTCGAATGTTTTAAAATCACACTAACTTATACTTTATATACTATCTTCGTTTCAAAATAAAATTTTGTTTTGAAAACAACTCACAAATTAATATCTATTTTGAAACATAGTATTATTTATTTTAGGTATTGATATTATTTTTCCATCATGTAAACTTTATTTTGTCACTATTGTTTTTATTTTGTCATCGTGTGGACTTAAAGGATGTAGAGTAATTTTTATGATTAAAACTGGGACCCACTTGATGATGGATCCCTAATGACTTTTAATCTAATAACAATTTTTTACCTAAAAAAAAAAATTCTAATAATATTCTTGCATGACTTTGGTATATAAGGGATCAAATTTAAAATCAAGTTAATCAACTAAAATAGTGCTTAAGCATGTGATTTTATCATACCATGATAAATTAAGGTTGCTTGAAATTGAGATTTTATAAAATAATGATAATCTTTCTTGGAATAACTTTTTATCAAAAAAGGGTCATAAGTGAAAGTTAGGAAACTAGAATTATTTAATATTAATTATATATATATATTTCAGTTTTTTAATTTTATATTATTATTGCTAATTATTTAATTAAATATAATTAATTTAATTTTTTTAAAATTACATCTTGATTTTATCCCAAAGAAATACATTTTTTTTTTTTTTTTTTTTTTTTTAATGTGAAAAGATTTTATTTTGCTTTTTTATACATATGATTTTCAATATACAACATTAGCGGTTACACAGTACACACCACTCCAATTAAAAAAAGGGGATCATAAGTCAAAGTTAGGAAACTATAATTATTTAATATTAATTATATATATAATTAATTTTTAATCATATTATTCTTGCTAATTATTTGATTAAATATAATTAATTTAAAACTTTCAAATTTTATCTCGATTTTATTACTAATAAATTCATTTTTTCAAACAGAATAACTCGAAGACACCCACCTTGACTCATCGAATTAAAAATATATAAGAAATCACCCAAAAAAAATTCCCAAATTTTGATGATATAATAATTCTTTATCAGTTATTTACCCATAATAAATAAATAAAGGACTAAAGAAAATTGTGGAGTGTTTTAGGAAGAGAAGGAAGTGAGTTGGTGTAATTTTTTTTAGAAGAATAGAGACTTTTATACAGTTTCTAAATATAAACTAGAATGTTAGCTCACTATTAAAAATTAGTATATATAGAGAGAGGTAGGAGGAGGATTGGATGTTTACAAATATAGTGATAATTAAAAGTCTTTAGTGTAGTTGATGGGGTATTTTAAAGATCAGCCTTTAGTACAGTAGATGGGGTATTTTAAAGATCCATATTTTAATGTAGATGATCCGCTGGTATAGCCAGCTATCCTTCAATAAGGATTATTTTATATTTTGGTGGAAAAAATAAAAATTAAATCTTTTATATAATTCGACTGATACCGTTATACAATTCAATAAGGGATGACGCCTTATTCAAGAAATCAAGGATTTATCTAAAAATTGTAGCACACTTAAGAAGCCCTGACTTGAGAATGCTGCACCGTCTTGGCGGTTGCGAGCCACCAATAATGAAAACACTTCGCCGAAACATTGAAAAAAACAATGCTGGAAAAGTTTTTGCAGTTGTTTGCAGAACCTTTTCAATTGAGCACCCTCCCTTTTAATTCCTAAGCCAGAAAGAAGCGATTGGATTTTCAGAATCATGATAATATTTATTAGAATAACTTTTTATCTGATTGCGTATGAAGTTCATACAAAGACTGTTTTTTATTGTTAAATTATTTTATTTCAAATTTTATTTTATTTTATATACATATTATTTTAATATACAAGTTTAATCCATCATAGAAACATGGAATTGTTAGAAAATTATGTACAATGGAAAACAATATTTGCACCATTTGTTGGGGTGAATTAACAAACTATTTTTTTTAATTGATTTTTTAGACAACAAATAAGGAAGTGACCCTTCACTTATTTGTATTGTGCATAAATGGTCAATAAAAATGTTGGATTACATAATTCACTCCAAGTACAAATATGACTAATTATGAACCAATTGAAACTAAGAAATTCGTTTTTTTTTTTTATTCTTCAATTTTTTTGAGAAAAATAAAAAGGTTTGGAAATAAATAAACAAATTAATGTTTACTGTTTAGTAATTGAGGTTTTTTTTTTTTTTTTTTTTTTTTTGTTCTTTCATTCCATCTAAATTTTTTCTCTCTTTCAAAAAAACACTAATTTTTTACAAGCCAACCAAAAATCAGGATTAAATCTCAAAACTGGTCTTAGAGAAAACTAATCAAATTGATTTTTGTACTGTCTCGAGAATTTCCAGAATGTAAAAAAAAAATCATATATAACATATAGCATGTTCCTAATACAGTATTATTTATGTTATATTTCTCATCTCCTTGATTGACAAAGGCACATGACTGAGAGTTGGCACATGGAGAGCTCTTCTCCATCGTAACAATGGTGAGGCCAAATAGAGAACAAAAAAAAAAAAAAAAACAGATATGGGCTCCAATTGTAACGAGGATAGTTTGGTAAAAATCAAATTGGGGTAGTTTTGGGATTTAAAAAAATCGCTATTAACCTTAAACGTTATTTAATTTACTATGTAACCCAATGTTGAACTGGAAAGTGTTGTTACATTTAAAATAATAAAAAAATAAATAATTTGATAACTATTCGGTTAAATCCAAATAAATCCGGATCATAATTTTTTTTTGGGAGGATCACAAACTCACAATCCAACCTAACTTTCTTATCAAATTTTTTTTTGGGGGTGGGGGGTGGAAAATACTTGCCTACTTACTAGTAAGTAGGCAAACTTATACTCACCACGTATGTAACACAATGTTATGTAACACAATGTTAAACTGACAAGTGTTCTTACATTTAAAATAATAATAAAATAAATAATTTGATGGCTATTCAGGTTAAACCCAATTAAATCCGAATCAAATCATAATTTTCTCTCCTCTCCCTCTTTTTCATGCTTCCCTAATCTCATCGGCCTCCCCGCTCCCCTTCCCCCCTCTCTCTTTCATATTTTTAGGGAGAAAAACTACTCTCGTGTGTCCGAAGAACTAGAAGAAGAAGAAGAAGAAGAAGAAGAAGAGAAGTATATTTCAAATATCTAACTTGCCAGAATCATATTTGTATGGAAAGTTTGGTATTCATCAGTTAGTTGTTAAACACAAAGTACGGTAATGACATTTACTACATTGTGTTTCGAAAAAATAAATAAATAAATAAATAAAATCAGTAAGATTGATCATATAAAACCTATTGTATAACCAGCAAAATTATCACAATATATAACCATATAAATGTCAGTTTTAGTTATTTTACTAGCCCATTTGTACAGCAAAAATATCACAATATATAGCCATACAAATATACTTCCAGTTCTCCGGAGACAACTGATTTACTCAATCCGAAAGCAAGTTTTTGTCCCCACTTCTCCCGAATCCATGGGAACTACCTTATCTGAGTATCCTGATTCCATCACCCGAGGATTATTATGAGTTTCTCACTCTCAAAATATGTGAGAGAGAGATAGAGAGAGGGAGGGGGAGATTAGGAAGCGTGAGAAAGAGGGAGAGAAGGGAGAATTAGGATTTGATTCAGATTCAGATTTATTTGGGTTTAATCTGAATAATTATTAAATTATTTAATTTTTTTATTATTTTAAATGTAATGACATTTGTCCGTTTAACATTGTGTCACATAGTGAATATAAGTTTTCTATTAATCGGTGAGTAGACAGATATTGTTCTTTTTCTATTTTTTTTTCTTTTTTTTTTTATTTTTTTTTTTTGAGATTTCCATCTAATAGCTTGACACTACCTACCAATTTTTTTTTTATATATATATATATATATATATAATTTCTTAGGTAAGAAAATCCGACCAATATCAGATGCATAAGATACACAAAATGCAAAAATGTACACAAGCAGAAGGACAAGAATGCTATTTTTACCTGCAATTTTCGAAGAATCTAGGAGTAAGTAACCCACTCATAAGTCACAAGAGCATTTGGGACTCTGTCGGAGAGAGAGGGGGAAGAGCTGTACGGTTAGGGTTTGTGGTGATTCAATTCGATTCGAACACAATACTCGATTACTCGAACCAAAGTCTCAAACCCTCAAATTAAACAGTAAACTGAAACGATGCATATACATCTCGACATTGACGATTTCGATCCGGTTCTTTTCAAGGTACTAGCTTTTTGTCTAATGACTCAGTTGCTTTTGAGGTAAGAGTTCATCTCAATTATGTCATTTTATTAAAGGGGTTTATGGTTATGGTTAAATTTGTATTATGAATGCACTTTTTATATTGTATTCTTTGGTAATTCGTTATTTAGGAACTGGGGCTCATTTTGTTGTAACTAGTGAAATTTGAATTCAATGTGTAATGTAAATTAGGAATTGAATGATTAAGGTTAGGGTTAGGTCTTTACCAAATTGCAGTCCATTAAATTTGTGTTTTTTTTTAATTAATATATTTGGGGTTTTAATTCGTAAGCTGGTTAGTAAAATATGATTTGGTTATTTGTATGGAAAGGACTGGGATTCAGGGGTTTCATATATATATATATAAATTTGTGTTAGTTCACATTTCTTGTGTATCATTTTTCATTTCTGTGACTCTTTTTCAGGTTTGTGTTTTATGAATGTAGGTAACTCTTTTTTCTGTTTTGCTTTATTTCGGCAAGTAAGTGTGAGTACATAGACTTATGATAACTTTTTTCTGTTCTAAGATCTGTGTTCTTTTCAGATTTTCATTCGCACAGGGTTTCAGGTTTTTGTTTTATGAATGTAGGTAAATCTTTTTTCTGTTTTGTTTTGTCTTGGTAACCAAGTGTGAGTACGTAGATATATATATATATATATATATATATACACACGTACATACATTTCAGTACAAAGATATCTGCCCTTTCCAAATTTTCATTTGCACAAACACAGATATGGAAATGAAAATTTGCCCCTCCACTTAGTCTTACTAAATGAAATGTACTGCCGGGATCCGTTGATTTTATCATTTCACCAGACATTGAGGTGCCATATCTAAACTTGATTGCCTAGGTGTAGTTGGGCTTCATGTATCCCTGGTTTAGAAGGATGCGCCATCCCCTGCTGCACCTGTCTATTCGTTGCATGTGGACTGACCGAGAATGTACCTTGTTTGGATATATAATCCAAGTTGAGAGTAGAGTTATGGGAGGCTGATGGAAAACAACTTTCACGTTCGGTCCATGGTGCACTTTTTCGTTTAGAATTCCTTGTTCCCTTTCATGTGAATTCCCTAGTAGCAAGTTAAAACTTTTGGGGCCCTTTCTATTCTATCTCTCGAGTCTTGAAGAACAACCTACTCCCCTTTGGACTCCCTATCTCTTTTGACTTTATATATGCGGGCATTTGTCATCTAAAAGGGTGGTTTTGTCCCCCAAAAGTATTTTTATCCTCCACTTATGATGTGTACCCGTGTCACTTCATTTATAAAAAAATCAAGCGGATTGCTATAGTACTTTTTTGGGGTGTAAACATTGCATCCCTTACTAGCAATATATTGTATATTTTTAAAGGCCTGCAATTACTTCAGAAATTTAAATGTTGCCTCTATCCAACAAAACATGTAGTTAAAGTTGGATAGTTGCCTATGCGTCAAATGTGGATTGTCTATCATTGGATGGTTTGAATCCTGCAGTAGGGCTCACACCATCCAACGGTTGACATTCCCCATGTGACACATAGGTGACTGCCCTTAGCATTTAACAAAAGTTACACAGCAAGTTTTGTGTAGCAATTACAATAATCATCAATAACTTTAGTTACTTGGTAAGTATCTAAACTAAGGACAATGTTAGACATTGTGATACCCAACAACCGACTCATTTAGCTATGGGCCCTACCACACCCAACCACACAGGAATGTGGTGGGGCCCACAACCAATGTGAGTGAGTCGGCAATCGGGTGTGACAATGAAAAGAGTTTTCCCAAAACTAATTAGGAAATAAACAAGGTATTAAATGTATGTCTTGACTTCATTGGACACATGAAGTGAGCTAAACGGTGTAAATCTTGTTCTAGAATCTGGTTTGATCTTGTAGTCCAAATAATCCCGTACCATGAGAGATGCTTACTTATAAATCTGATCATATTAGAGCTTGCCAAGAAGTACTTGGGACTACGATCGTTGGACAGCTATCTCTCGAGCACAGGTTTAGTTTGGCCTCAATGGGAAAATAAAATGGAGCACCTAACAACGCATCTTCACAGACCAAGAACGATATGACCGATCAATAGAAATTGTGATATCACGGTTGTCCTCCCTACATGGTATCATCAATTCAACATAAAGAAGCCATACAACAAGCTGTCAGATGGTTTACACGTCAGCAACCGAGCTACTGATTCTAACATAAAAGTTAGGCTTTAGCTAATTTGGAAAGGATCTGCCACCAATGTTGTGTGACGTGTTGTGATTGATCATTGATAGCACGTAGGTGTAATAACGTGGTATCACCCATTGTACCTAAGTTTTTCTCATTGGAAGAGAATACAAGTGAGAATATCTATTTTTGCATTATTTTTGCACAAAGTGGTTTTCTCAAGAATTGAACTTGTGTTCTCAAGCTTGAAAAATCTTTTGCTCTCAGTATAACCATTTAACTAGGAATTAAGTTTACATATTAATTTTGTCTCTAAATTCCAGAGAGGCTTGAAGTTAGATTATAATCCCCTGAGTGATAATCTTAAGCTAGATGGTTTACGCGTCAGCAACCAAGCTACTGATTCTAACATAAAAGTTAGTCTTTAGCTAATTTGGAAAGGATATGCAACCAATGTTGTGTGATGTATTGTGATTGTTCATCGATAGCACGTAGGTGTAATAAAGTGGTATCACCCATTGTACCTAAGTTTTTCTCATTGGAAGAGAATACAAGTGAGAATATCTATTTTTTTGCATTATTTTTGCACAAAGTGGTTTTTCTCAAGAATTGAACTTGTGTTCTCAAGCTTGAAAAATCTTTTGCTCTCAATATAACCTTTTAACTAGGAATTAAGTATACGTATTAATTTTGTCTCTAAATTCCAGAGAGGCTTGAAGTTAGATTATAATCCCCTAAGTGATAATCTTAGGCTAGGCTTTTTAAAAGATGACTGCTGGCTGCATCAATATCCTAGGTTATGAAGAAGTTGGTTTAGAGTTCATTTTTGTTGTCTTATTTGTTGTGGGTTAGCTAGGGCTTATGAAGAGGTAGACAGAAAATTAAATGCTGCCTATATCCAAAAAAACATGCAGTTAAAATTAGATAGTTGCCTATGCGCCATGTATGGATTGTCCACCGTTGGATGGTGTGAATCCTATAGCAGGGCTCACATCATTCAACGGTTGACATTCCCCATGTCATACATAGGCGGCTATGCTTAGTATTTAACAAAATTTATACAAACACTTATCAAGTAGCAATTGCAATAATCACTTATAACAACATTAGTTACTTGGCAAGTATCTAAGGTAGCTGGGAAATAAGTATGGTATTACATGGTTTATGTCTTGCCTTCATGGTAATCATATTATTAACTTGAGCAAAGCCCGAACATTACTTATTTTTATTAATAGTACTAATTTATTATTGAAATATTATTTTATTAAATGTTGCATTTTACTGAAAATATGCAGTTAAAGTTGGATGGTCCCTCACACGTTGCATGAGGACTGTCCATCGTTGGATGGTGTGGATTCCGTAGTGAGACTGAGACCCATCTCATTTAACGGTGGACAGTTCTCATGGGACGCGTGGTCAATTTTCCTTAGCATTTAATACGTTTAAGAATTTAGAACACTTATTGACTACCAGTTACAATAATCAACACTAATAACATAGCAACACTGATTACTTGGTAGATATCTAAGCTAACTAGGAAATTATACTGGTAATAATTCTGCCTCTGAATCCAGAAAAATATGAATATTATAGCTCTGACTCATATTATAGGCTAGGCTTCTTAAAAATCATAACGAAGTGGCAGCATCAATATTCCCTAGTTAATAAAAACTGAGTCTTGAGTTTGTTCTTGTTGCCTTATTCACTATGGGTTAGCCAGAACTTAGAAAGGAAGACTTGTTGTGGAGATTTGGCTTCAAATTTGGTAATATTGATGCCAAGGGATGCCATGCTATGGTGGCAAATGAAGAGGGAAAGTGAGTGCTTGGTGTGACAATTGGAGCTTGCATGTTGCAGTTCTTTTTGTAATTTCTTTATCCCTCCTCCCCTTCCTCCTCTCTCTTTTATTTCGGGGTGCAATTTTTATATCACCTATGTTTAATCTAAGTTGCTTTTCATGCATTATCAGCGGGCAAGGTGAGAAATTATTGACAGACTGGTTCTCTTCCGCTGATCTTTAAGTCCTTAATTGGATAGCTTTTCTGTTGAGCATCAACTTTACTTGAATAATGGTGCTGGCAGTTCTGATGATTTCATTAAGTACTACTGTATAACGTGCCCAGGGCCTCTGTTAGTGATTTTTAAGAAACCTCACATTCAGATGGTGGGTGCACAGGATATGCTAATATTTTATTTCCATATGTTGCACATATAACAGTGTCTGGTGTTTGAATGTTAAAGCCATTGCATATGCATATTGCTGATCATTAATGGAGGCCATAGAGATGCTATCAACAACTGTTCCTAGCAAGCTATATTTGTCACTTGTGGTTCTAATTCCTTGGAGATTTTTTTTTTTTTTTGTTAATGGGTACTAAAAGGCGTTCTGCTTTTGTAACCCGCTGTAGAAGCATCCCATATGACAGGTGAACTTGGTCCTATCCAATTTGGATGTTCTACCTCAAACTTGCAGAGACCTCTCATCTCAATTGATGGAAGTACAGTTTATGATCTAGATGACAAATTCAAAGTAAGAAACCAAATATGTTTTGTCTGCAATGTTCATTCACAAACATAATGTGATCCAGAAATGAGATGCCCACCTAATTTTCTTGAACTGATTCTTGACTTTCAGGTGGTGCTTCAGTTGGGTGAGAGGGGACAGCAATGAACCCTAGATGACGTTGACTGGTGAGCAGGGGAACCTGTGCTGTTGGTTTTGCTGTTCATGCAACCTAGGAGTGATCTGCACAATTATTCTAACCAAGGTGTCTTGGCGAAGAGGGTAGAAGTCCAATTTGTGATGTTAAGAAGTTGCATTTATAGATGAAGCATAAAGAAAGCCAAATTTCAATCTCTCATTCTTAGTTTTGTGTTTTCAAGTACAAGCTTCCTTATTTTTAGTTTTCCGATGAGGCAAAATAATCACTGGATCAATTTATTACCATGTTGGCTTCTGCACAAACATTATCAGTTTTTACTGATTTAGGGCGGATAAGGATTCTATTATGACGTTGACATCATAAATTCCAGAGTATTTTCCTAGAATGGATGACCTTTGACCACCGATACATCATAGGCTGTTGGCAAGTACCATAAGTAATTTTTTTTTTTTTTTTTTTTTTTCTCTCTCAAATCTCTGGCCCCAAGTTTGCAGGACTATTATGTATATATTATATATGTTTTTGTATATATAAATTTTAATTCTTTATTCTATTGGATTAATCATGTAGCTGCCATTTGTTTCACTTTCAGCTACGGCCGGAGGCACCACACCTGCAGTTATTGCCTATAGTGTACTTCGAGAACTCTTTTCATCTTTATGTTGTTTATGTCATGGATGCCTTGTAATGTAAACAAAAGTTACAGAATGCTTCTGCTATGCTTGCTGAAGTGTTGGTGCTCGGGGAGGGTCTGAAACTGCTTTGTTTTTGGGGGTTATTTTGGCGTTTTGATCGAAGAAGTTCGCAAGACTGTTTCGAAGCTGCTATATATGTAGATATCAAACTGTTGTTGGAAAGGTGATTGCATGCCGGTTTTGAAGCTTCAGGTTGTCGATGATTTAGCTGCTGCTATATGTGTAGATATTGAACTGTTGTTGGAAAGGAGCAAGGGTTCAGTGCTATCTTTGTCTCCTCGCCATTGTAATGGAGTTGCTCATGTCCTCAGCAAACATACTTTGACAGTTGAAGAAGGAAAGTGTTGGTGGGACGTGTTAACTCCAATGGCTAAAAAATATGATATGCTTGTTGGCATTTTTGGGTTCATACTGATTGTTTCAGATTGATTGCTTCATCGTTGCTGTGAATGTGGACATATGTAAATTTGACATATTGGTTGGAACTTGCAGTCTGATGGAGATTTTGTACCATACTGGCCATTTAAATTTCATGCAAAAACTCCAAATTCTGCCCATTTTTAATTTTGTTCACATGCAAATAATTTCAAGTTTTGTAGCCCAACTCTCTCATACTCCATTAAAATGGCTATTATATGAGAAAAAAGATAAAAGGGTTCAGTTGAAACATTACTCAGTTAAGTTTGCTAAAGAACACCCAAATTTACTTTCAATTTCATCTGGAAATATCAATGCCTAAAGTGAATGTTGATTCTTTAACCGATTTCTATAGCCGAATGGTTAGCGGATTTCTTCACCCGAAACGGTAACCGAAGTTCTTCCTGTCCTTTAGATGAATTGTAGTGGGATCGGGTACCACTTCACTTGATCCAACAAATGGGGAGCATTTTGGCTCAACATTTGGGATGAAGAAATTGCTGAGTATCACTATTATAGTATTATCGGGTCTGAAGAGGATCGGATATACACAATTTTACTTTAGCGGATCGAGAGATTGTTTCTATTTATATTGCCCTTAATGCAAAAAAAGTTGTCCATACAAGGCTTCAATCCTTTCTTCCCAATGGAGATTCTACTAATAAATCCAAGGTGTTTATATATATATATATATATATATATATATATATATATATAATAATTATTTGAAGGGTGAGAGTATTCTTGTGTAATGATGATGGGCAACAATGTCATCAAATTATATATTTTTAGTAAAGTAGCAATGAAAGCTCTTCATGGTGTTGCGCAGAAAGTCCAAACTTTATGTAAAGGCTGGTAAGCTAACGGTGTAGTTAATTGAGTAGTGTGGTTTTTTAATGAGAATCCAAGGTGGTAGTGCATGCGCGCATTGTTTTTTATTCCTTTGCTTTGAGTTCTTTGATTGCAGTCTTTGTCTATATATATATATATATATATATGGGTTCGTACTCATAACCATAGGCCTGTTGCATTCGGCATCTTCATAGATCTAGTATCATATGATTATTCTATTGTGTAAGGAATGGGCGTCCGGATCCTCTGCAATAAAAGCACCGCGGTGCTGTATTGCAAGCTGTGATCAGCACTTCGCACAAATTATAGTCGTCTGAGTATTCGAATCTTCGGTAGGAGGGAACGGTTGTGATCACTCACCACGCATAGGAATTGATCATTTGTACTAATAATGCAATATAATAATATTCTCTTTTGTTCCAAATAAGTGTACTGTTTTAAAAATAGTGACTCACAAAATATTTATTTTGAAATAAAAGAAATATAACATATAAAATACGATTGTGATTATTCACACATGTAACTGGTCACAATTATCCCTGCAAATTTAATATAATGTTGTGTATCGCATGGAATCATTATTCTAGGAATGGACTTTATAATATTATTGTACCACATCATGAAAAGAGTGGAAGACATGTGCTAAACTAGTTTTACAACACAAACAAAATCTCACTAATTATTATAAAGGAATAACTTGAGTTTATCCACATGTGTCAATAATTGGATTTTGATTTTCCATTTCAAAATTGTTTATTTTTCAATCATTTATATATTTAGAAGTGAAACCTAATTTTTATTTTATATTTTGCAAGGAACCTAATTATTCAATGTGAGATTTGATTCCATTAATGTACGGAAAATGAACATTTTATGAAAATGAAGACACTCCAAAATCTCAATAGTTTTTGAACGTCTAAAAAATGGTGAAACATTCTAAAGTTCTGCAAAAACAATTATGAATAATTATGATTTAACAGTTTCTTCTTCTTCTATCTCTTTTTTTTTTTTTTTTTTTCTTACTTTCCTTTTTCACTAGCGCGTATAATCTAACTTTCTTATGTCTAATTTCTTTCAAATATATTTGTTTCATTTAACTGCCAAATCATTTTCGGGATGAGAAATTCAAAAACCCCCCTCCCCATTTTATAACATCATTACTTTTTATCAAAGATCTTCAATTCAATGGTATTTTATATACTCACGACGAGTTTTAGTGATGTTACCTTTTTTTTTTTTTAGTGATATATCATATATCTTTTTAACTTAATTTTTATTTTGTTTTCTTCAATAAAACAAATACCATTTCCCTTTAATAGAATCGAAACTGAATAATCCAAAACCTAACATTTATGTAGAAGACACAATAAATGAAAATTAGGACAATGGCTTCAAGAACCCAAATCCAATCATGTAAATTTTTTCATATTTTACATGCTTGTCACCAATACATTGAGATTTCAACGTTATTATATCGAGAATGTAATTTTAATGTAAAGTTATTTTATTCTCGATATAAAATTGTAAATGTATTGCATCGTCATCAAATTGTGGATGCACTTGAAAATTACGTACACTGGATATGATCTTAATTCAAAATTTTAAACAAATTCTCAACACTTTCTATTCACATGTAGTAGAAAGAGAAATGAATCCTCTTCATATTCAAATTCAAACACATCTAAAACACAAATTGCAATTGTACAAAATCAAAAGAATAAAGCATTCCAATAATTTGAATCCACATTTCAACTTTCAATCTCTCCTCCAAGCATACAACAACAAAGAAAACCCCCCACCACTCCCACAAGACTTGGTAGACGAAGAACATGAACTCCTACCACCATCACTGCTCTCCTCTGCCCACTGCAGCACACTCGAACACGACGGCGACGGCGACAGCGAAGCCGGCGGCATCGAGCCGGACCCAGCCGAGGACAGGCTCTTCCTCATCAGCCTCTTCTCCGGGCCCACCATCTCAGGCCACACCCCACCATCACCAATTTGGAACACGAACACACCATGTCCACCACCACATTTATTATTTGTGCCACTATTGTTCACCCAATTGAACACATCCCAATAAAATTCGACTTCCAATCCTCCAACAACAATCTTTTCATTCCCTCTAAATTTCCATCCAATTCTTTTCACTACCAAACACACATTTCCATCAATTTTGACTTTCAGTACTCCTCCACCACACTCTATCCCAATTTCATGTTTGGACCCCATAAACTGTGTCCGGGTTATGTAACTCCTGCGGCCAAACACATGTTCCCGCCGAGATAACAGAGTCGGGTTGGCCGGGTACCGAGTCGTGACCAACCCAGCCTTCCGAGTCAACTCGTCTAGGAGATCGCCAAGGAAGAATTCCAACCTGCCATTGGAGGTGATTGCAATGTAGTAGGATGACTCCGGCTCGGCCGAGCTCTGAGTCAACTCGGCTCGCGTGAAGTCCCAGTAGAGCTTGATTCTTTGGTAATGGTGGTGGGTCAGGTCGATGGATTTGGACCCGGGCTTGCTCCGGAAGAACGAGAAAGTTGATGGGTTGAGAGAGATGGTGATGGAGAAACAATCTGCTGCATAGATGGTTAAGGAGTGAGAGAAGAGAGTCTTGGACCAAGTGAGAGTGAGATAGGTTGGTGAGTTACAGAGCTGAGTTTGGTAAATGCATGTTATGAGGCTTTGAGGAACTTGTGAGGTGTTTGTGTGTATGTTGGGGTTGCTAAAGCATGCAGGTATCATGGCTTTCTTGCTTGCTTGAGTTCTTTCTCTCACAACATTTAGTTAAAAGGACTTTGAAGAGAGAGAGAGAGAGAGAGAGAGAGGGAGAGAGAATTTAATTTGGAGGGCTAGTAGCTAGGTATTAATTTGGAGGGCTTTTGTTTGTAGTTTTGGGCTTTTGGGTTGATAGGTGTGTAAGGGGATTGAGGTTTTGAATTACTTTTTTTTGGAGGTTAGATGTTGTGAGTGGAAGTCTATATTTTTTGGGTGCACTAGGGTAGATGGTATAAATTTTTTTTTTCTCTGAAGGGAAAGGTTGAGGTTAAGTGTTGAAATTTTGAATGGGAAAAAAATACTCCTATAATGAGTTTGTACGCGTTTGCTTGACTTTTTAAGAAAAAAAAAAGACAGTGGCTATAATGAAATTATATTATACTGCAGAGGATAATAATAATCACTTATGTATTACTAGCCTAGATGGTATAAGTTCTCTACTTTAATGACTTGTTTGATCTTTCAAGAAAAATACGATGTATATAATTCAATCGTACAACAGCGGACAACAACGATCAATTACATATAAATAACCTTAGATAATATAAGCTCTCCTCCTTAAAGGGTGAGGTTGAGTGTTCAAGTCTTGGTAAAAGCAAAAATATAGTAAGTGTGTGTGTTTTCTTGATCTTTCGAAAAATAATGGACCGTTATAATCAGACTTGTGCTGCAGCGGACAACTATGATCATTTACACATATACAGTTTGTGTTATTATGCATAAGATTCACTCAGTGTAACATACGGCTGTGATCGCTCACACGTGTATAATTCGAAAAAAAATGTACGATTATAATCAGACTTATACTGTAACGGATAACTATAATCACTTACACATGTATAGCCTTTACTGTCATATATAAGATTCACTTAATATAATAGACGATTGTGATCGCTCACACGTGTACAATATGTTACGTAGAAAATTCACTCACTTTGGGCAGTGGGCGCTTTGAATCTTGAATGATGAAATTATAAGGCATACACCTACACATCATCACAATCATCAACGCAAGTAGCTAAGGCTTACACATGAGCTGTGTTCATGTTAGCTTGATTTGCGCCTTTGACAGAGTGAAGAAAAAACACACCCCTTCTCTCTCTCTCTCTCTTCATATATATATATATATATATATATATATATAAAGATTGAGGTGAGCTGGATGCACTAGTAGTAGGGCTTGAGTAAACAGCTAGATGCAATGTGACATAGATTTCTTTCTTTATAAAAGGGTTGGTTCTTTCTAATTTATGATTATTTTCCCCTTCTTTTTGCCATCTCAAAAGGGCATGGATGGAGATGGGACCTTGGGAAAAGGAGACTCCCAACCACTTATGTGGGGTTGCTTCAGATCAGCCCATCAAGTGGGATTGAAGTTTGAACTTTAGGGCAGTGTTCAATGGTCTGATGAAACTATTAGATCAAAGTCAAGACAAAACAGAGCATGTACACAACTACTACTACTACTTCATGGTGTCGAAAAACAAGGTCAATTTATAAGTTTTCTATTTAGTATCTATTTCAAAGGTTGTTTTCCTTTCATTTTTTATCTTTATTTTTTAATTGTGAAATTCCATTCAAATTAGAAGAAAAAGGAAAAAAGTTAAGAAGGTTAATAACTCTTAATTTCACATTTATTAGTTTGAATTTTATTATTGAATTAATTCATAGTCAAATTACCAAGGTTTGAGACCGCTAGAGAGATATTGAGAGAAAATTAATAATCACACTTGCGTTTCAAAGTTTTATAATTTTAGATTAATTTTATAGATTTCGTGAATAATACTAAACTATGAACTCATATAGTTTTTCCAAATCTTTGTTTTTCATGCTGTTTTTGAAAAGAAGAATCAATTTCCAACTTTTTTTTCTTTCCAAAATTTCCCCTTTCCTTTGGTAAAAGGACTCATTTTAAAGAAAAAGTTATTTTTAATCTGACCTAGTACATTCCACATTCCAATTTTATTGTCTTCCAAATGAAATTATTATAACCTTTTGCCTCATGCCCACAACTTATTTTACATTAAACAAAATGAAATTTAGGTCACCTAAATAAATGTTGGATGGTTGGAATGGACAAAAATAGACAATTTTCAAGATAAGAGTCACCCAACATCCAAACAAAATAATCCATATTTTCTCATCAAAGAATCCGGACAAAACAATCCATATCATCTCTATGTCCCATTGAGTAGACTTGAAAAGGCAAAGTGTGCATATAGATAATATATAGAACATGTTGGTTGAGGACCTTTTTGAGGACTTTTTACTAGAGTAAACGAACATGGCTTTAAAAAAAGAGAGCTTATGGGGTTCCCTTTTTTTCACTCTATAGCTCCCCAAAAATGAGGATGAGGAATCCTATTCGAATTATTTATTTGTGCTTTTTTACTTTAAATAATGGTTTACTTTTCAAAAAATGAAATGATCCATTCCACTTGGTGAAGGTACCAATTAGGGTGTAGTTTCATCATCAATCAAATAATTTGATTTTTTTATTTATTCCAAATTGATATTCAAAATTAAGTGAAAAAAAAAAAAAATCAAAACAGACCAAGATAGTGAATGAAATCTTAATCTTTTTAGCACCGAAAATAACACTCACCCATTTTATCTCTATGAAAATTTTAATCATTGACATTTCATGTTGAAAAGTTAAGAAGATACTACTAAGTAATAACATAACTTTCTTAATTACTTACATTTTCAAACATATTATAGACTAACCAAAATCAAACCTAAAAAAGTAAATATTAGAGACCTGATAACAAGAATGGAGTTTGAAAAAGTTTTATTGATATGCGAATACCGTCTTCCTATTATTCATTTGAGCTTTGCTACACATAATAATACTTAAAATTTTAGATCTTCTTATGCGTTTCATGTCTGATTTTGATTAATATATGATACACGCTAGAAACTTATAGGTAAAAGATATAGGATTAAAGTTGCGAACATCTGACCTGTTGGAAAACGTGTAATATTTAAAAACTTTTCAATGGATTTTAATTCATAAATCTTGATTCATCACATAGAGACAAGTTTTATGCAAAAATAAAAATATGATGTATCATTCAATTAATGGATTAAATACTTACATCAAAGGTCTGAGTAAACCTTTAAAACTTTCCTCTAAAGTGAATGTTCTCACTTATTGTAGATCCCTAAGCAAGATGCCTTCTTCTTGAATTTCCATCTTCTTGGTAATTATTTTGCCTTTAGGAATCACTCATAAGCCTCCATGAATTACCTTAGAAAACTAGGCTTGTGGGAGCCTCCATTAGATGAGAACATAAACCCTAATTTTCTAGAGAGAGAAAATTTATTCCTTTTTCCTTCTCATAAAAATCACCCCCAAAATATACATAGACCATGTATATTTATAGACAACAAAAAAAAATAAAGAAAAGAAAACAACAAATCCTTCTCAATCTCTAATTCACATGTCTCAAATCTAATATGATTCCAATATCAAGTTGGGCTATGAGTGAGAATCCATTGGGCCTATTATTTTATTGGCTACAATGAATTAATAATTGGCCCGGTCCATGGACCCAATTCAATTAATTCATAAATTAATTTCTACTCCACTAAAAGAAATTAAACTAAAGAAATTAATTGAACTCTAATTAAATAATAAATAACCACTAAGTCAATATTGCACTTTGACTCCTCTATGCATAATTAGTTATCGGATAAATAAAGCCATCAATCCGACTACTTAATTAATATATTTATTTTCGTACCATTGATTATTTCTGACTCGATCACAATAAAAACATTTGTTTGATAAAAATAATAATTTAAATAAATAAATATATAATAAATCATTTTGTCTAAAAACATACGAAGGCCTTCGAATTTACTTTGTGATCAATCATAATCAATACCAAATAAATGCAAGTAGCAATGATGCAAATATTGAAAATATAACCCTCTAACTATTAATTACATAACTACCCAAAGTGTCGGTCTAAGGATCCTGAAGAATCCGCCGAATAAATCAAAGTAATTATTAATTAATAAAAGAGTTTATAATTTTCTCATGCTTAAGAGTCAAATGTCATGACGGTGATAGGAAGCAATTGCATACAATGGCTCTCGCAATATATCTCAACCTAACGCGGATCCAGTTCAAGTCTTAATTAATTATGAGTCCATCCATAATTACCGACTATGAACCATTTATGATTACTATTTATATTCATGTATTGATCGCCATCACATACATATATAAATATCTCTTGTAATCAAGTGGACACTATCAATTCTATAATGAATCGAAACATAATACATTGAATTCACCAATTGTATAAAAACATAAATATTTCAGAAACGTCATGAACTTATATCACTTTAATCCAAATAGGAATTTGCTATGTCAGGGCATATAAATCCCAACAGCATCCTCAAAGATTGCGTACATCTAACCTACCCAAATTTCACAATATCGAAAATTTCCTAGACCAACTAAATTATTATTTTTTTGATAAGTCAAATATAATTGTCCATTCATTTGATCCCAACTCATCCACAATCATAATCACAACCCACATGGGTGATTGTGGATGATTATTAATGTCATTGAGTGGAAATTATATGGAAGATAATCATTTACCACCCAAAAATAGTAAACAGAAAAGCCAAATTCTACCAAGTCCTTGCTTCTTCTTCTTTCTTTTTTCGTTTTTTTTTTTCTCCTCTCTCTATCCCCAAGACTAAGGGTCATGTTGGTAATTTTGCACATTTCATAGTATGACTTTTTTTTTCCAACATCCAAAGTGCTTGCACATGACCAAATCTTGTAGCTAGATAGGGCGTTTGGTGAAATTTTTGAGTCTGTTTTTGTGGTCTTAGGGAATGTTTGATTATGTGAGATGAACTTAGAAACATGGGATGCCTACAATAATTGAATAAAGCAATTTTCAGCCTTCCAATGTGAGATTGCATGATTTGTAGGGTACATTTCCAACAAATCCCCAATTCTTAGCCAGAGAAATGCTCCATATGCTTCCATTCTTGTATGCAGAAGCAATTGAAATGTTGGTTTTAACTACAAAAAAGTTGTGAATTCAACTTTCATTTCTAATCTTCCATTCTAAAGTTCAATTTATGATACCGAACACTCTAGATGCATAGCATTGTTCATGAATCACAAGCTCTATGTTTGGGAACACGAATCACCACTTTGAATTTGGAATTGGAAAAAATTTAATATAAAGTTTGAACGCAGTTTCGCCAAATTACAAACTGAAATTTAGTATAAAGTTTGAACTCAGTTTCTTCCAATTACAAATTTCAAATTCAAGACGCCTATTTGATACACTCAAACACAACATATGTGAATTTGAGACTTGTGCTATTAAGATTACGAGGATATTGTTTGATGCACTGATAAAGATTCGAAGCAATAGAGAAGAATGATAGTTACAATACGAAGTTGGTCAATTTGTGTAAATAATGTCAAATACTAGATTTGAACTATAGTTATTCCTTCTTGTAGCCTTATAAATAGATATATAGAATCAACGTGCGCACATGTGCATATGAAAAATAATATCAAATGCAAAATTCGAACTATAGTTATTCTTTCTTGTACTAGAATCAACGCTCATGTGCGCGTATATATATATCATGCATTTTTAATTAAAAAATGTCATATGCTCTCTTTTGTTTTGTTTTCAGTATCTTTTGTATTATCAACTAATTATATCTTGTCATATAAATAAAAATACTTTTATTTTCATGAATCTTTTTTACGAGTCACAGCTCTCATTAAGAAGCTATCTCCCTGAAGAATAACTAAAACTGGAAAATTTCCGATGGCACGAGCCTTGGCAAGTATGATTTCCCTCATCATCGACGTAAATTCTTCACGATCAATGGTCCCATTTCGATCAACATCAAACTTGTCGAAAAGGGTATCATATAGACCCCTAATCTCTTCTGTAGATTGCAATTCATAATCCTTCGACGCCAGCTTGCCGGACCTATCCTCAAGCTCACACCGGGAAATTACTCCGTCGCCGTCGGCATCCAGCATGTCAAAGTGTTCCTTAATGCATTTGTTGAAAGTCTCCGAGTCATTGACAAAGTCCATCACTGTAGGACCATCTAGGCAAGCTACACTCATTTTTGCAGGAAGGAGGAGTAAATATGGAAATTGAGATGGTGAGTGACTTTTGTTGGCGGTGAAATTTATGTTTGGTTAATTTAGCATATGAATTTATATATAGATGATGTTGTTTCTATATTTAGGGTGTCCTAAAAAGAGTTGGTTAGCCTTTACTCACGTGGCAATATTTGAGATTTCATTTGCAGAATTTTAGAGCATGTTTGGTATTGACTCATTTTCATCATTTTTATTTTTGGATTTTACTTTTTGAATTTCCATGAGAGGAAATGATGAGAGTCTGAAATTTGAGTTGTTTTCATGTCAATTTTATTGAATTTGATATCTGATAAAACTTAGAAGACCATTTCAACTAGTTGCTTCAAAAGGGATTGTTTTTAAACATTTTTAAAAAAAATTATTTTTACATTCAAGGACGTAAAATATTTTTCAAAGGAGATGACTACCGCAACAACACTGTTAGGAAAATGTCACAAATTCAAATATATTATCTAAAACTGTGCTTAAATAATTTAGTGAGTTAGTCCTTCCGGTAGACTTTGGAGTGCCATGCTTCGACTCTTTGCTTCTAACAATTCTTGCCTTATAACAAAAAAAAAAAAAAAAAATCCTTTGCATTCAATTATTTTTTTGAAAAAAGAAAATGAAATACAAGGAGAAATGATTTCATTGTTGAAATTCAAAATGTTGTTTTTGTGAACTAAAAAACCCATCTATATAGTGCCACTGTTTAGCCTATTGGGCCTATTATTCACTACGGTGGTTGATGCAGCAGTGTTTGACCAGCCCAGAATCTCGAACTTGGCCCATTCAATATGGAATATTAGCCCAATGGGCTTTGAGCACCAAATACAAGGAACAAAGCCGAGAAGGAAATGCCTATTTTTAATTTTTTTTTTATTTAAATATTTTATAGTTTTTTGATAAGGACAAGAAGTTAATGGTATTTTTTATTTATTTTATTTATTTTTATTTTATAAAGTTAATGGTTAAATCAACTTTGCTAGAATTTCCTCAACTTGCAGTCACTCATTCCTTTTAAGAATTTTGCCCCTTCAATAAGCATTACATAAAACAAATATAGAGTGAAGTGTAACTCTTGAAATAAATATAAGGGTATATAAAAACAAATAAATAGAGGAGTATATATATACAAACAAATAAATGAATAAAAAATTATATAAAGATGTATAGAAAAAATGAAAAGTGCTCACACTTATAATAGATACAAGTATATATAGATTATTAGGCCATGATTTGGTAATTGTACACCTCATTATTAAATAAATCCATCTAAAACTTAATAAAAGTAATTCAAATTATGTTGATCATATTTTATAAAAAAAGAGAATATGCAAATAAAAAGGCTCAGCATTGTCAATCACAACAAGCCCTAGCATGATCAAATTGAGCCAAAAACTCTCGAAATTTTGTTTACCTTTTTTTGTGTCTGGTTGAGTTATGAGTGAATTAAGTACAAAATATTTCATTTAAGTGTAAATTTCCCAGTTGTTTTTAAGATTAATTGTGACCTTATTCATACAAGCAATTAAACCGGAAAAAAGTTTATTTTTAAAATGTAAACTTTTTTTTTTCTTTTCCTTTTTTAAACTGGTTTTTTCCAGTGAAATTTTTTATTGAACTTGTATTGTTTAGAATTTAGTTTTTAGAAATAGTGTGAAAAATACATATATAAGCTATGTTCGATTGCTTGCAATCGGTAGAATTGAAAAAAAAAAAATTAATTTCAAGACTTTAATTTTACGGAGCGAACATAAATATTAAAACTGGCCTTTGTTCCAAAGATAAATATTAAAAGATTTGATTGCATATGATATAAAATAAAGAGAAGTCAATGTAGAGATGGCAGGCAACCGGTCCGTGTAAAAAGTTTTGGAAGGCTGTAATATTTGTTAGTTGGTTGAGAAAAAAACTACTTGGGCTACTGATATAACAAAAATTCAACTATATATTATACTGATATAATAAGAATGGAATAATTTTTAATAGTGCAATAAGGGGATAACTAAGGATCAAATCATTCAAGCAAGTTGGTTCGGACACCCACAATTACGTTAAAAAAAAAAAAAAAAAAAAAAAAAACTATAGATATAGCTTATATAAAGATTTGATTTTATGGTCTATTTGTTGTGGAAATTTCACATATTTTATAAAATAACACAAATACAATAAATCAATTCAGCATTTCACAATGAAATAAAATAATAAATAATTTATTACTGAATAATTTTGAATAATACACTTTGCAATTCTTTCAATAAAATGAATACAACAATATGAACAACGTGAATATAAAAATGAATAAGGATTTAACAATATAATAATTCTGCAATAGAAAATTAATATAGTAATAGAAATTATGAAATGAAAGCAATATTAAAATAGGTAAGGCATGTGTAAATATATTGATCTAAAGTTGATAATCTTTCCTTTCGTGGGTATAGGCGAAACTAGTGAGCTCCAAGATACAACTTAATCAGCTCACAGCGGCATCTTCTCCATATGCACGACTACAGAAAGACTACGTCAAAGTAAATCTAGTTGCTCATAAACTCAATACTTAAATAATTCTCAAGGAAAAGATAGAATATGCTCACAATCTTATAAAAAGTGTCACCCTATGTTTTACAATCTCCACCAAATCATCTTCAAGATGTTTTATATATAGGATATATATAGGGGTAAAATATGTAACCGCTAAGATATAATAATGATAGAATTTATAATCAAAGTAATATACACCATAAGTATAATTTAATTAATGGAATAAAAACTTATTAAACCATAATTTATATTTTTATTAAAATATTCCCAACACTATTCCCAAGACCCGACGGTGTGGTTCTCTGTAATTGATTCCAAGTCCGGAATTCATGGATGTTTTGTACTTTTCAGGTGGTAAAGTTTAGACATATATAGGCTCATATTCGGTTCAGCAATATAAAATTTATATATGCTCATATTCGATCCAGGAGTATAAAAGTGATAATGTGAACGTTTTAAATAGTCATATTATAAAAAATGTGCGACTAAAGGCTAATGCGACAAAGGACTGGCTCTTAAAAGTATGATAAGAATATCTCTCACCATATATATATATAGCCACTTTATTCCCTAGTGGGCGGCTAGGATACATTTCAATTGATGACTAACATTTACCTCTAGAATTCTCCAATAATGTCTCAATTCTTCTAAAATACTCTTATACAAAATTTTACAGACCCTCCAATATCCTAGAATCTGCTTACAACTCTCCACAAATTTTAGACGGTCATTTATTTATTTAACATGTATAAATTATAGGTAAAGATTTATTGTAGGGTAAATTAACTAACCTCCCCTATTGAATGCCTAAATAATAAAGACATCCCTTCTAATATCAAAATTAACACTGATCTTCCTTGAAGACTTCCTATTATAAAACCGGTCAATATTGCCCGCTTAGATCATGGTTGAAGATGTCTACCACTTTTTATTTATTTATTTATTTGTTAAATGTAAGAACAGTGAGATCTTTATTCAATTTTCTTGGTTTAATTTGATTTACAAAATAAATGAACAAGTATTGATTTACAAAATAAATGAACAAGTATTTCTTATTTAGCTCTATATTTATACAACACTAATAAATCTGAATTCATGCGAACTTTAATTATGAATTTATATGCCTCCATGCTTTATTCTCTTATTTATCTTTCTCCACTTGTTCATGAGTTTCTTGGTGAATTACTTGCTTGTCCAAATTGAGAACATACTAAGATAGTTATAACAAGAGAAATTAAATACTTCATAAAGGTGCCAACAATTCTAAAGAGATCTATATACTCTATTTTGTATGAATTATACAAAATATGTGAAGTATATTCGAGGTAAATACATTTATTCTCTATCTTTCAGCTCATGAAATCATAAAAAAATTAGAATCGAAATCCGAATTTTTACCAATAAAAATGGGTCTCAAAAGTCCAAGGGTTACAACTATTTATAGATTTTAAATAAAACTGTAACGACCCTAAACTGATGCCAATAAAAAATAAATAAATAAATAAATAAAAATCGGCATGACCTCTGCTAAAAAGGGTCCTACGCCAACATATTTAAATGCATAAAAAAAAATATATATACAATGGCATCTTTTGAACCTTCAAAATTTATTTAACCTGTACCAACACACAATACAAATGATATAAAACATTCCCAAAACAACAACATCAAAAACCTTCTCAAAATAACCCATCACCATCAACCCATTCATCCAGAATAAATGAGTACTTGTCTTATACATAGTTCCATGCTTACATACTAGAATTTTATTCTAATTACATCTACTTACAGTCCATGAATATAATTACAATAACAAGAGTCCATAAGTCTCCGTACAGAATACAATATACTAAGTTTTACAAAAATAGTGAGACTTGGATACAAAAATAGCAAAATGATCTTTTAATCCAAATTAGGCATATGGTGGAACGTCATCCGCCACTTCTTTCTTATGTCCTGAAAAATGTTAAAATAATAGGGTAAGCATAAAGCTCTGTAGGTGGTGCCTAAGACATACCTCTTGTGACCCCGTGAATCCAAACAATGAATAGAAATAGAAAGCGGGGTCATACTATACCGGGAAGGAATACAATATTAATTCCAATTCCAAAATAACAATGCCGTGCCACGATATGTGATGCCATGAATGTCGCTCCCCATTTTCAAACTCCAAATCCATCACTTTTCAAACTATTAATATAACCCGTCCGTTGGTGACTCCGCGGCGACACGAGAGAAGGATTGGCTATTGTCCCTGACCGTTGGTACTTCCGCGATGTCATTTGGGGCCCAGATAGCTTAATTGCGCTAGGGAGATCTCCCTAATTTCCTCCAGGTTATATTAACACTACGACCCTTTGGTAGCTTCGTGGTGACCGGGTTTTCATAAAAAATCACTTTAATCAAAACTTTGTCCCAAAATCCCTTTTTCCTTT